TGATATATCGAGCGGTCAAGGCGCTTCTCATGTGTATATATGAAAACCAACCACGCACGCCAGAGCTGATAAAGTCGGTATGTCTTACCTGGAACATAAAACGAAAGAGATTATTAAGCATGCAAAATGGGAAGAGAAGACGAAGAGGGGCGAAAAAAAAGTTATCGTATCTCATCGCCAAGATGGCTATATAACAAAATAACAGTTTCTGATCCAATGATAAATGTCCTCTGCGACATAAAAAAAAAAAAAAAAATCATTTCATATTTCACTCTCGCGACTTGAGAGAAATTATACAACATTAATAATAAAAAAAATACTACATAACAATTAGAGAATAATTATAATTGATAATTCATATAAATATAATCATATAGAAATAATAATACAAATTATCATACAATTATTAATAAAAATAATAATAGAAATAATCATACACTGAAAAAAGGGTTTGGTATTGACAACCAAACGTTTGGTTGGTATTTACACTCAGAAAAAAATTCGTTTGAAGCAACCAAATTTTGGTTAAATCAACAAAATAAATGCATTGATATACAGTTAACCAAACATTTGGTTGCATAAGTCAAACGTTTATTTAGCTCAATCAAATTTTTTCTTTGTTCAAAAAATTTATTAAGATAAACCAAACAGTTATATAGATCAAATAAATATTTGTTTGAATTGAACAAATTTTGTTTGAACTAACCAAAAAATTGGGTAAATATAAAAAAATGGTACATTTGGTTCAAACATATCTTTTTTCTGAGTGTAAGGAACTAAAATTTTTTTGTTGAATCTACAAAATTTTAATTGTCTCAATCAAAATTTGTTTGACACAATCAAAATTAGAAAAAAAGGATTTTTGTTGTCCTAACTAAAGTTTGATTGGGACAACTAAAATTTTGTTGATTCAACAAAAAAAATTTGGTTGCTTAAATACCAACCAAACGTTTGGTTGTTAATACCAAATCTTTTTTTCAGTGTACAGAACAATATACAAAATCATAGAGAAATAATACAAATAATAATTAATAATTTTTTTTTTTTTTTTGCGTAACTTATAGTAAAAATTAATGCAACCTTAGCACAATTTACATTGTGATATAGAAGCAACTTCCATGCTCTTTTTATATATATATATATATATATTCGATTACAAAACAATTATTTTTTCATGTATAACTGATAATATTATTTAGAGGGGGAAAAAAATACAATTGAAAGGAGAAATTAGAGAAAGATTAAAAAAAATATATTTCGAAGAATCGGTTACAATGAAACGAGCTGCGGTAGCGCAACATTGTAGGTGATATGAGATGCTTGGCTATCGCGCGCTTGCGTCCGCTATTATCCACTGGCCAACGAGATATGAATTTATTTCTACTGTTGCTTATTTATGGAACTTGATAGGGAATCAGACCAACGCTGCTATAGGCTACTCGATCGTATAGCGGAAACGAGAGGACGGCATGCAAAACGTATATATATATATAGGGGAAAAGATAAACCAAGAGAGCTATGAAAGTATAATCTTTTGAAAGAGAGACATTTTCTCAGAATTTACTCTCTTCTACATATATACATGTTGCAAAACTCGAGACAAATACATTTTTATTTTTTTTTTATCAACGCTTTTTGGATTTTTACAATTTTTCATTCTCTATATAAAAATATTTCTCAATTTTACGCGAAGATCTAATCAAAAAAAAAATTTTTTTCATTGAACCGAAATTTTGTCTTTAAAAGAGAGAAAACTAAAAAAGAAAACTGAACTCTTGTGAGAGAAATAAAAACACAGAAAATTACAAAAGGCATTAAAATAAGCTGCAACGCTTATTATTTTAATCCAATTTTGCTTATTTTAATACCAAAATGTATTAAAATAAGCAAAATTGGATTAAAATAATAAGCGTTGCAGCTTATTTTAATGACTTTTGTAATTTTCTGTGAAGGCCTATCGTTGCGTCAGAAAAAAACGAATAAAGTAACTTTAACTATTTTAAAAGTAAAACCGGAACTGTCCATACAGTTTCTGCGCATTTTTGGCAACTTTTACTCCAGAAATAGTAAAATTTACTATGTTTTAGAAATAATTTTTTACTATTTCAGATGGAAATTTTACTATTTCTGGAGTCAAAATTGTACCTTCTATTTAAAAAAAAAAATATATATATATATACATCTCAGAAAATTGTCTGAGCAGATGTGGGACTGCTGTTTCGTGTCGCCAAATGAATTTTGCAAAAAATGAAACCATGAGAAACTTGAGGGACGAAGTGAAGCAGAAACGGTCATGCAGCAGACGAGTTTTTCACGATTCGACTTGGTGGGAGCAAGAGAGAGAGAGAGAGAGAGAGAGACAGAGAGAATGAGATGGCTTCTTTCTCGTGGGAAGAAAGACCCTTGGAGTTTGAAAACGATATCGTGAAGAGTTGATTGTGATGATCCCGATCGCTGGGGGCCCCATCTTGAATTCTAACATGAAGAGGTCGAGGAGTTTGACTTTGCATGCAATTTATATATATATATATATATAGGATTATATTTATGTCCGTTAATGGGCGACTTGAATAAATATAAATATATTCACATATAACTGGGAATCAGGGTCGCTTTTGCTAATTGACGGGGAAACAAATAGAAAGTAGCTGCTGTATGCGTGGTTTACCGGTTGCTCCAGTGCCTCCAGGAAATTGTCAGTGGCACATTCTCCGCCAAGATGTCGGGTTCTCACATACATTTAGTTTGCAACGAGTATTTCCACCTGCGTCCGAATCCACCATGGAATAAAGTAAATGAGAGTCGCGTCCACTTGTTATAAGAGAGAGATTCGTTTTCCATTTAAACTTGAATTTATCAAAGAATATTATTTCCCCCATTTTAACTATAGAAGAAAATAGAAATTTTTTTCCTTTTTTCGTAGTGTGTGAAATTTTTTTTTTTTTTGCTAACAAGAGTTGAAGTTGTGAACCCTTTTCTTTTTTACAATCCCTCCCTTTTCAATCCCACATGCAATCTGCACTTCATTTTCGTATTCGAGAGAATGACAAGGCGGAGAGAGAGAGAGAGAGAGAGAAAGAAACCCACACACATATGTAAATTGGTGTGTATGCACTTCTCGAAATATGCATTTTCTCAGGGCCGTATTTATTACAGTAAAGGGGGAAAATTTTCAAAAAAATAAAATTCCATTTCGAAAAATTTTCGAATTTATATTTCTATGAATTTTCTTTTTTTCAATATATTTTTCTTTTAAATAAATATTTTTTAATCAATGGAAAAAATAATAATTTGTGGAAACTGGAGGTACGTATATGTAACTTTGTAACACTTTGAGAGCGATAAGTTTTAATGAGTGGGTACTTAGATGCGACATTTTCCCGTTTCTGTGACCCTCCCCCCCCTTTCACCCCACCACCTTATTTCTTTTTGCAGCTTAGAACTATCACATCGTCGTCTACAGGTCAATGGCCTTTGGTCCGTATCACTTTATACACGATTCGTATATATATATATATATATATATATATATATAAATGTCTACGTTGGTCGTTGTCGTTGCAACCCGAAAGTGCACGAGTTTTTGCACGCGTCAATGAATACAGCAGTGGAGAGTCGATAAAACTCTGGTGAGATTGCGAGACTAGTCAACTGTACCTCCTACATAAGAGGAGGTAGAAAACGAACTCTCTTCCAATGACCCAAACCACTTAAAAACACCATTTTTTTTTTATTCTTTTACTCCTGAATCACTATTCTCATCAACTTTTTATTCTTTTTATTGTAATTACATTAAATTCTAATTAATTTAATTCTCTATTTTTTTCCCAGCAAAAGAAATTCGAATTTTTCAAAAGCAGTAAAAACAAAATTTTTTTCTATCTTGCTAATTTGTTTAATTAATTTTTTTTACTCAACACTAATAAAATGTCAGAAAATTATTATTTTCTTCAAATATCAGTAACGTAATGATAAAATGTATCAAAAAAAGATGATTCACTGGCGGGGGCATAATTTTTGTCAAGTTTGAAAAAAAAAAAAAAAAATGACGATCATTAAGCGGCTGTTTTTGCCAAAGACGTCGTAAATACACCGTACATGGGAAATAAACAAACGACAATAGACACACACGTTGAATTTTATGTGCACCATAAATTCTACAATATTTTAATCACCCTTAAATCAACTAAGTGACACCTACAAATGGCATCCGGATGAAAATTAGAAAGTCGACTACTTAGTTATAGAAATTGACCATTAAATATAAAAGAAAAATTTCATATTTCCCATTCTATATATCTAATTATTAAATATTTCTTCTTTCGAAAAAAGAAAATAAAAATTAAATTATTAAATATAATTATAATAATAACAAAGAAATTTAATATATGAATTATTAATAAAAAAAAAAAATTCAATTTAAAAATTGTAGAAAAATGTGATAATTGATTAAAAAAAAAAAGCAATTCGCGATAGAGAGAGAAAATTTTATAAGAGCATTGCCATCGAGGACGTAGAGATACGCGGATGCCGAGGTTAAGAATCGTCGACCCTGAGGAGGTTTATGACAGTAACCATCGTATAGGATGAATCTCTCTTCACGAGAGATACGCTTCATAAATATAAATCTGACTGCATAATCGATGAAAGTGAACGCTTTGCGAGAACTGTCGACATCTGACAAATATATATGTATATTTTACATTAACCCCACTCTATAATAAAGAAACAAATTCCCCTTTTCACAATTTTTTTTTTTTTTTTTGCTTCTCTTTTTTATCAATCGACAATCCTCTGCAAATATGACATTTAGAAAATTTTATATATTTATAAAACAGTTAATAATAGCAAATGCGATAACAATTATTACATTCTCATTATAAATTTTTCTCCCTCAGAAATGGCAGCTGCAATCACAATTCAAATAATCTCTTGCGCTTTTTATATTAAGAGAAAAAAAAATAATTATTAATTGCAAATAAATATTATTGCAAATAAATATTAATTAAAAATAAATATTCATTGTAAAATAAAATTCTTTATAATATAAAATATATATATATACAATGTTCAAAAAGATTTAAAAAATTTTTTTAATTCTAAAAATGTTTTCCTCGTTATAGTCATTAATTTAATTCATTTTCAATGGTACCAAAGGCTTGTTGAATTTCGCTGAATGTTTTTCCTTTAGTTTCCAACATTGTGAAAAATAAGAAAACTACACTAAAAAGACAAATTCCAGCGAATAGAAACATTGTCGTGTGATTGCCAATTGTTTCAGCGATACTTTCAAAAGATATTGTCACCACAAAAGCAAGAAACCAATTAAGAAGTGCAGCACTTGATGATGCTGTGCCTTTAATTTTTGTTGGAAAAATTTCACCCATATACGACCATGGAATTGGACCTAATTAAAAAAAATTTTTTTTTTTAAATTAATCTATAATTATTTTTGCAAAACTAATATTTTTAAAGAAAAATTACAACCTGCTCCAATGCAAAATGCAAAAATATAAAGACTACAGGAAGTTAGAGGAAGCCAACTGATTTTTGTCAAAATATCGGGATTATTTTTTTGTATAGAGAAAAAAATGCCCAAAGCTACGAGACAGAAACACATAATAATTTCTGAGACAATCATAAGGGATTTTCGTCCAACCTAGAAAAATTTTATTTATTAAAAATTGTTTTCTTTTTTTTTTTATAAATAAATATCAATTTTCCATCTAACCTTGTCGACAATAAGTGCAGAAACAGTGCAAGCAATAACTTGAACAATTCCCACGCATACATTTTGTGTCAATGAATCCATTTCAGTGCCGGTTGCCTCAAAAATTGTGACACCATAAAAAATAATTGCATTTATACCGCTCAATTGTTGGGCAATCATTAAACCATATGCAACGCAGAGAACTTTTCTTAAAGATTTTTTAAATAAATATTTACAACCCACTGATTCCTCCTTGTCGATATCAACAATTTTCTATGTTTATTCAGAATGAAAAATAGTCAAAAAATTTAATTTAATTAATCAATTTAAATTAATTTAAATATTAAAATTATTATATTTATTAAAAATATTTAACTGATGCAAAAACTCGTTTGAAAATGAGAAAAATAAAATAAAAGTAAAAAAAAATTACTTTGACTAACTTTAAATTCGCTGATTTCCGGGCCAACATCAAAATTTGCTCCTCGAAAATTTTCCATTGCTTTTATAGCCATTTCATCTTTTCCTTTCATTATAAAATACAAAGGACTTTCCGGCATGAAAAATAGAATAACGCCAAAAACAATGGGCGTTATTCCATTTAAAATTGATATCCACATGACATCATTCATGTATCCGGTACAAAAAGCAAAGAGAATACCAATGACAAGTAAAAGTTGAAAGAAAACTCCCAATGTACCTGTATATTAAAAAAGGCAATTTTAATTCCTAATTTTCATTTTATTTTCCTTCATCTAAATTAGAATAATTTAAACAAATTTTAATTTTACATAAAAAAATTTTTTTTTTTTGGTTAAATTAACAAAAAATTAGCCCCAATACCTCTGATTTCTTTTTCACTAATTTCCGCACAATACATTGGTGTTAAGACACAATACATGCCACTAAAAAATCCAGTGATAAATCTACCAATCACATAGAGAGGCACATGTGAAAATGCAAAAATAATTAATAACCATCCAAAAACAAAAGGTGGAATAATAATGAGCATTGTTGTTTTTCGACCAATTCTATCAACAAGAAATGGTACAATAATCACACCCAAAAGACATCCCAATGGTAAAGCGGCTCCTATTAAATTTCTCTCTAAAGTTGCAAATTTGTAATTTTGTTTGAGAAGCTCCGAACAAGGGGAATTCCATCCCAGACAGCATCCCAAACAGAATCCACCCAGACATGCTATTTTATATATATATAAAATTAATTTTAAAATTTTAGTAATTTATTTATTTAATTTAATAAATTTATAATTAAAAAGAATTTAATATTAATGAATAATTTATTTTATTTTATAAGAAATAACAAAGAAGAAATAGGAAATAATAAAAGGAAAGAACAAAAAGAAATAATAAAAAGAACTAACGAAAAGAAATGACAAAAAAAAAAATATTAACATATAAATAAAAAAAAGGAAAATTTCATTTTAACTAAAAAGCACCTGCAACAGCAGCTCCATACTGCAAACGTCTTCTAATTAAATCTTCCATTTTTTTAAAACATTCTTAAGTTATTTATATAATTAATAAAAGTCAAAAAGAGAGAAGACTGTGAATTACATTGAACACAGTTTGTCAAATTTGCGGTTAGTTTATATCTCTTGAACATTGTTTTTTGTTTTTCATTTTTTCTCAATTTTTTTTTACGTTTAATCTCTAACAAATTCGTAATCATTTTGAATTTTATCAAATTAAATTTTAAAAATTATCAAAATTAATAAAATTTATTTTATTAGAAAACAAAACAATTTTTGTTTTCGAAACTTATTTATATGTTTGAATTAAAATATATTTTTTCTAGAATGAAAATAAATTTTTCTACTTATATCAAAAAAGACAAATTTCTGTAAGCTTTTTTTTTAAGTTAATAATTATAAACAAAAATAGAAAAAGAAATTTTAAATTAACATCAATTAAAAAGAAAACTGTAATCAGCAATTAATAATAAAAATATAAATAAAAAATAATAATAAAACAAATAAATAAGAAAATAAGTATTTAAATTAGCAATATAATTATAGTTAAATATTGAGAAAAGAGTTTAAAAAAAAAACATATTTAATTATCAAATTTTTTGTTCCGCAAATTTTTTTTTACACTTGTAAAAAAAAATTGTTCATCAAACAATTATGGAATAAATTAACACGAAACGATAGCGATAAATTTCAACAAAAAAAAATTTTTTTTTTTGCACTCGCACAGTGTGTTCCTTTTTGGTTAACTTCATGGGACCGTGGAATTCATGGGACTTTTGCGCTCTAATAATTTTTGCACATAATTCCCAAAGACGTCATATGCAGAACGAGGAAGGGATCCCTCTTTCGCTCTTTCTCTCTCATAACAAGGATAAGTTTCGGGGGTCCCTTGCCTTACGCCTGGTTACTTCAACTAACGATATTCAAATTCTATTAAGCTACCGCGCACACGAAAGATATGTGCGCTTGACATCGCAACGCCTCTCTCTAAAATTACCGATCGTTCCTTCTTAACGATGTGTTTTCATAATCCTGTGAAATGCAAATCGCCAAAGGAATGAAACGATTATCCAGCGGGTGTGGTTTTAATAACTATAAGCATCATCACGGAATTCCTGTAAACTTTGCACATAAAGTCTCTCCAGTATAAAATAACTGGTTTTCTTATATACGTTCGAATGCGATTTAAAACATTATTTATGAATATTTCATGTGATTCATCTTTAACGGCCATAAATTATATCTCGTCATTTCCCTATATCTTGGGTTAAATAATTTTAATTAAATTTTTTCTCCTATTCCACTATACTCTCACGTAATATTATCAGCGGGAAATGGAATTCGAATATTCGGCATTTTTTTTTCTAATTTTATTCACAAAAAAAAAATAATTTCAATTCTACGAAAAATTGGAACTTTTTGTAGTTGATAAACAAAATAATAAAATAAAATTAATTGCTAAATAATTGTATTCATAAGAAAAAATTAATAAATAATTTGATTCGCTATAAAATAATATATACAATAATAATAATTGTTTCAATTCGACATCTAAAGGTTAAAAGCACTTATAAAGGACGGATATGATTAATCATATCCAATTCGAAGTTTTGCTACCCTTTCGCCTATTTCTTGACCTTGAATCATTAAATTCAATTTATTAAGAAAAGTTCATGACAAACGTTTTTAAAAAAAATGTCTTTTTTATTTATTTTTTTTTTGTTTCTTAGATGAAAATTCCCCTTTAAATCACAAATTTGTAAATTTTTTCGTCATTTTCAAAAAAAATTATTTTATTAAATACAATAATTTTGGGGAAAATTTATTTTTTGTAATAAATTTCTCTTTTTTTTCTAGTGAAATAAGGTATATGAGGAGAAGAAGAACCTCTGATGGAAAGTACAAGCCCCTTTTGAAAAATGTTAAGTGCCAATGAGTCTTTAATAGCCCTTTCGAAATCCACCCTAACCACTCATTCTCTCTCTCTTCGCCTCATCCCTAAGCCATCTCTACAGTTCCACTGCGACCACAAGAAAGTGTATTTGCATATAAATATGCGAACACCCAAATAATACAAAATGAACCTTTTTACTCTTGCCTTCGCTCTTATACAAAAAAAAAAAGTTTCTTAAAATTGCTCGGCAATTAGTAAATTTAGAAGAAAATAATAAATTCAAAAATTGATTTTTAAAATACAAGAAAATTGTATTTTAAGACACGTCTGAAATTATCATTGAAAGTAATGCAAAAAATTTTTTTTAAAAAAAATTCAACAAAGGCTGTCTTAAAAATTTTGCAACTCAAAATAAGACTTATTCCTTCTCTTAAAATAAGATTTCCTTTATTTTTTTACCATTATTAATAAACAATTAATAATACATTAATTTATATATTAATTAATTGTACTTCGAAGAAAATATACATCAAAATTACGCACAGGAAGTAGATATTATTAATTCTCATACAAAATTTATAAATATATTTATAGAAATTTGAGTCGAAGAAATGAACTCGTTATTCTCGGCATCAGTTGCAAGAGGCGCGCGATAACGTTTCAATTAATTCTCGGACATTTCAATGGCACCATATGAGACATGCTATATAGGATATATATATATATAATTAGCATATAAAGCGTGTGGTAAATCTGTTCAAGCTAAATACACCTACTTTGATGAAAATCGTGGAAAATCGAGCGGAAGAGTGAGAGAGAGAGAAAAGATAAATTTTGGCGAGTAACTCAAGCAAAAAGATCACTAGGAAAATATATATATATATACGTTAAGGGCTAATTATCGTCGCTCTTGTGTGTGAGAGTTACCCCTTTTTGCTATTAGAGAAGAAAATTCCGCTTCTTCATATTCGTATAAATATAGCAGACACGTCAAGTAGCAAAAGAGACAAGTCTCTATTGAAATGTCTCGCTTTGAAGATTATTGCTAATTGACATTTCTCAGACTTTGGGCTCAAATGTCAAATATAAATTTGCATATTTATGTTTAAAATTTCTCGTTGCATTTTGAAAAGTGAAAATTAACATCTACTGTTTTTAAGATATTCATTTTCTTTTTTTTTTAATAAGAAACCCTTTTTAGTACAAAGGGGTTAAAAATATCAATTTTCGTCCCTAGGATAAAAAATAGTCACTTTACTATCTAAAAATTCTTATTTTATTCCCTACACGGAGAAAAAGGAATGGTTGGGCCAACCATAGGTATTGATAAATACGTCCCATCAATATTATATGGTTACCACAACCATATCTTTAGTTGATACAACCATATCTTTAGTTGATACAACCATAGTATGGTTGGCGCAAACAAGGGTCAGGTTGACACATCAAATTTGCAATTTTTCGTCATTTTGATGTGACAACCTAACCTTTGGTTAGGCCAACCATACTATGGTTGTATCAACTAAAGATATGGTTGTGGTAACCATATAATATTGATGGGACGTATTTATCAATACCTATGGTTGGCCCAAACATTCCTTTTCTTTCCGTGTAAGTTAGAAAACAATCATTTTACTCCCTAGGAAAAAATTCTCTAGGATTAAATACAACTATTTTACTCCCTAGAGAAAAAAAAAATTCAATTTTTTGCTTCCTCGTATTTCTTACACTTTTCTCATAATTTAGAACAAGAATTACAAGACAGAGGAAAAAAAGGAAATAATAATTAAAGCATACAAACATGAAAAACTAGTATATAAATAAAAATGCAAAATTGATAACTAATCGCAATATATAATTAAAAAAGAGATAATAAGAAGAAGTATTGGTAAAAAAAAAAAAAGTGAAAAGTGGTGATTGCAGTGTCAAATTGATGAAATAAGAAGAAAAAAAAAAGCTAGGCTAGAGTTGAATGAACTCGTTAATGTGACACGACGAGAACTAAAACCGTCGAGATTTGTCCGAGGTGTACTCTATACACACTATGTACACATGAGAAAGCCTTCTAGGCTTACATAAGGTAGTGACTGCTGTTGCTGCTGGCTTGCTGCCTTGAAGGAGGTCGTTGCCGCTGTCTCCTGCTCTTTGCAATGGCGTATGCAATATGGGGCTTCATTCTCTTCCAACTACCCCCCTTCCTCTTCTCACAACCCCCACCCCCTCACCCTCAACACACAACCATCGTATCTTTGTAGAATCGGTCAAGGACTTTAAAAGGCTCGTGTCTGCACGAATACAGAGCGAGAGCCTCTAACGGCATATATCAAGGGCAATGTGTCCACTCACTTTTTTACTGTTAACCTAATTATTATATTAACATAATATATTCTATTTATTGCAATTTTTAATATAATTCAAAATAATTATTATTACTATGAAAATTCAATAAAAATTTTATTGTAAATAATTTCGTTTTTCTTTTGAATATATTGTATAGATACGGTAGTAAAATTGTACCGTGCAACTTTTTGATTAAATTTTTTTTTTAATATATACTGTATAGATACGCCAGTAAAATTGTATCGTATCTGCAGTGCAACTTAAATTTTTTTAAATTTCTTTTACAAATACTGTAGATACGGTAGTAATATTGTACCGTATCTGCTGTGTAACTTTTTAATTAATTTTTCTTTTAATATACTGTAGATATGCCAGTAAAATTGTACCGTATCTACAGTGCAACTTTTAAATTTTAAACTTTTTTTGAATTTACTGTAGATATGTCAGTAAAATTGTACCGTATCTACAGTGCAACTTTTAAATTTAAAATTTTTTTTGAATTTACTGTAGATATGTCAGTAAAATTGTACCGTATCTACAGTGCAACTTAATTTTTTAAAAAATTTCTTTAACATATACTGTATAGATACGGTAAAAATTGTACTGTATCTACAGTGCAATTTTAATTTTTTTAAATTTCTTTTACATATATACTATAGATACGGTAGTAAAATTGTACCGTATCTACAATGCCATTTCTTAAATAAAAAAATTTTTTTTTTAATATACTGTAGATACGGTAGTAATATTGTACCGTATCTGCTGTGTAACTTTTTAATTAATTTTTCTTTTAATATACTGTAGATATGCCAGTAAAATTGTACCGTATCTACAGTGCAACTTTTAAATTTTAAACTTTTTTTGAATTTA